TTTGAAAACATTTTTGGTGCCTATTTTTGAAAATTGACTCGACTTTTTGGCACTTGGGAAGTAGATTGTTTGAGCATATGATAGGCATTAAATTTGGACTTAGTCCATGGTTTAATATAATCAAACCAATCTTGTTCAGAGGGATAAAATCTCACTGCCCCAATTCTCGGATTTCTTCCCATTTTCCTATGAGGGCTTTGTGCACTTGAGTCATTGGTATGTTTCCATTTAGGAACACACTTTTGCCTTTTGATATACTTCTTAGGCGAAATATTTTTTCTTTAAGGCTTCGGCCTTGCAGCATTAAATTTGGCATTGGTTTGGTAACCAATTCCTTGTCTCATTGTGCTATCTTGACCTTTTACAAATTTTACCACTTGGACTTTATTGTTCAAAGTAGTAGTAAAATTGGTCAATTTCTTAGAGGCTTGAGAACACGAAGGATCATAGCCAAGTCCGGCTTTATCACTTGAGGGTTTTTGCATATTTACCATTTTGTCCATTATTTTGGATGAATGTGTAAATGTTGCTATAACCTCTCTAAGGTTGTGTTCTCTCACTTCCCTTGATTTACACTCTTCTTGAAGACAAATAATTTTATCCTTCAAGTCTTTCACTTCAAGTAGAGCATTTTACAATTTTTCATTTAATTCATCTTTTTCAAGAATTAAAAAATTATTGCGCTCTTTGAGTTGAGAGTGAGTGTCCATTACGGTTTGACAGTCTTTCATTAAGTGAAAGAAGGACTCTCTAGAGAATGAAGAATTTACAGAGTCATAAGATTTAGATGTTACCTCATTTTCTTCATTTTCCTTTGTCATAAGACACATGTCCTCGTAGGATGAGTTGTTGGAGATACTCATGAAAAAATTGCATTGTCATCTTTTGAGGTGTCACTTTCATCACTTGAAGACTCCTCTAACTCACTTGTTTCAAGTGGGTCACTAATAAGTGCTTTTCTTCTCTCCTTTGTGAACCTTTTATCTTTGGTCTTGAATTCTTCCTGTTGAGAGTTAGAAATATTTGTGTATTGACTTTTACTTACCTTGGGGTGTGGACAACTTGCTGCAAAATGTCCAGGCTTTCAATAATTGTAACACAAATTTGAATCTTCCTCAACAATTTCTTTCTTCGAATTCTTTGTTGTATTCCACGATTTTCCTTGTGGATTTTTCTTGTAGTTACTTCTCTTCATGAACTTCCTAAATTTCTTGACAAAGATAGCAAATTGATCATTAGGCAATCATTCATCATTTTGTACTGACCTTGAGGTTGACGGTTGTTCGGTTATGAGTGCGTTGTTCTTTTCATGATCTTCCTCGATCCTTGATTTCATCTCGAACTCATAAGCTTTTAGATCACTAAAAAGCTTATCGGTTGATAGAGTTTTTAGATCTCTATGATCTCTCATGACCGTGACCTTCATGTCCCATGTAGATGGTAGACCACGTAGGATTTTGAGTGAGATTTCCTTTTGATTAATATCTTTTCCAAGATCATTAATCTCTCCTAAGATTTTAGCAAATCTTGTTTCCATATCGGTAACATTCTCGTCGTTTAGCATTTTGAAATCCTCGAATTTCTTTAATGCTATGGTGAGTTTATTATCCTTTTCTTGTTCGTCTCCTTCACCAATTTGAATAAGCGTTTCCCAAACTTCATTAGCAGATTGGCATTTTCGAACTTTTGGAAATATCGTGTCATCGATAGATTTAAACAAAATATCCTTGGCAATATTGTCCAAGTTATTTCTTGTTCTATCTTCACGAGACCATTCCACCTTCGGTTTTGGAATGTATTGTTGAGTGTCACTTGTTTGTACGGATGAAGTGTTGACTTGCAAAATTTCAATAGGACCACTGGTGATAACTTCCCACATTTCATCATGTAATGCGGATAAGTGTACCTGCATGCGAATTTTCCAATCATCAAATTTTTCTAAGGAAAATAATAGATTTTGGGCAAGAGCCATATCTCTTTTCATCATCTTGATTTTTCGAGATCTGTCTAGCAGTCAAGACTGACTCAAATAGATAACCGCTCTGATACCAATTGTTGGTCCCGATAGGGTGCTAAAAGTCTAGAGGAGGGGGGGGGGGGTGAATAGACTTTTAAGCTTTTTCCAAATTAAATAACTCTTTGGTAACTTCAACTCTAAGTAACAAGTAAATAGGTAAAACTGAACTTGAACTGCGCAGCGGAATAAATAAGTGTAAAGAGTTATGCCCAATCAATAATTGAATCACATGCACGTGTAGGATAAGCTTAGATGATGTGTAAAAATGACATGAATATCTTGAATATTTAAAGGAGATGGTGCACTCAATATTTAACAATAATATTCAAGATTATAAATAAGACTTCGTGTCACGTCAACTGTATGATAAATGTCACATGCAACACGTCAAACTTGCTTAGAATAATTCACATGTTAAGCATAGAGAGTTTGAGTTACATGCATACCTGAAAACACACTAAACCCGAAAGATAAAGATAGACAATGAATAGTAAACGTGTTAGTCGGATGATGAATAAATAAAGAGAATTATGTAAGTGCGGTATGTAAATGAGAGAGACAATTTATAGTGGTTCGGAAGTGGCATAATCTTCCTAGTCCACTTTACTCCATTCACTTCTAGGAGTAATTCACTATTTTCCACACACAGTTATAATAGTGAATAAGCGCTACACAAACACTTCTTCCGGATGTCTTGCACGCAGCTACACCCAACTCCGAGTGTGTCGCACACAGCTACACTCAACTACGGGTATTTCGCACACAGTTATACTCAACGCCAACAAAGTGTCTTGCACACAGCTACACTCACTAGAGTATTTTGCACACAGCTATACTCTTTTTACAAATACAAAGGTAATTGTATCTCTCTCCAACTAATTTTGAGACTATTCAGACTAAGTCTCTTTTCTAGATATTTCAAAGAATATTTGAGCACTTGTATTTTTCTAGAATTCGCACTTTTCTATTTCATCCGTGTGTTCTCTTCTTTGTCTTCAAGTCTTCATGGTCTTTTATAGGAAATCAAATATATCCGTTGGAGTGGGATAATTTGATATTTGAATTTTGAACCTTGTAGCATGATATTGTTGACAATGGTAGGTCTTCAATTTGATTTGATTGTCAACTTGCCTGACAAGATAATATTTTATTTCAACTTGATTTTCAAGTTGTTTCTAAAATATTATTATCTTTGTCGATTTTGAATTTCCAACGAATCTTTGAAATAAATCCTTCTGATAGAATTTATTTCTAGGATAAGATTTTATATTCATGTCTTCATAAATTTTTCTACCGTTCTGATCATATCTTCAGGCAATTTGGATTCTTGTGGCATGTGGGGTGAAACAAAATAAATTCCTTCGAATTTATCCATTTTCTGATCATCTTGCTTCTTTGCCACATTTTGCTTCTTAGAAGACACATTGTGCTCCTTTGGATACATCTTACTTGTTTGACTTCGGCACTTCTTGCTTGTTTGACTTGAAACATTGTGCTTTTCTGATTAGGCTACATTGTGCTGCGCTCCTTAAGGCACATTGTACTTGCTGACGTCGTGCTTTTCTGAAATAACATTGAGCTTGTACGAACATTGTGCTTCCTTGAAACATTGTGCTTGTAGACATCGTGCTCCTTTAGGGCATTGTGCTCCTTGGGCACATCTTGCTTGTACACATCGTGCTTGTCCGAATTCTTGACTTGTAAAAAATAAGTCCTTGGGGGGAATCAATCTCGGGTGTACACATCGTGCTTGTCCGAATTCTTGACTTGTAAAAAATAAATCCTTGGGGGGAATCAATCTCGAGTGTGATCGTTGTGAGTAAAGACTTATACCATTTCGTTGTTAGGCTCATCCGATTATTTGTTGCAACGCCATTGTTTTATGCTTCTTTCCGGATGAATACTTGTAGGACCAAAATTAATTGTCCAAATTAATTTTGTTCTTCATGTAGTAGATTTTCCTTTGACTCGATATTCTGGATTATGATGCTTATACTAAAGACCAAAATTCTAAGGGGATCTAAAGTACACTTGGCTCATCAAAACTTTATTACAAAAAAAATATTCCTATCAAACAACATACAAATAGCTCTTCAACAATTATTATCTAGCATTTCTAAACATCTATTTCACACTTCTAGCATTTAACAGAGCCAAAACTAGTTTGGGAGTCCATGGTTTATACCTTAGCTTCTTCTTCTTCTTGTGTGGATCCCTTCTTCCTCTCTACTCAACTACTACCTCATTCACCACCTATACACCTCAAACAAACAATACATACAAAACTTAAGGATAGAAACCTCAGAGATTGGAGGCAAAAGAATGGAAACTATAAGAAAAGATGAATGAATGGATGAGAATGAAGCTTGGAAACCTTACTGTGTTTTTCTTCTTCCTTCTACAAAGTTCAAAGAGTGGAGAGGCCAAAAGAAAGGGATCAGGAGAAAACATGGAGTTACTATTCTATTTATATGGGTGCAAAACCCTAGGTTGATCACCCATTATTGGTTGAGGGCAAATGAGTAAATTAACTTTCCTCTTAAAATATCAGACAACGTTCATAGAAATTTCATGGTTCACCTTGTATCATGGACCAAAGTCTCAAAAATGATTTTGGATAACTTGGGATCAAAAATAGATTTTATGAAAATAGTTTCTAGTTAAAACACTTGATTTAGGTTTCACAGGTTCCTTTCCGGTTTCACTCAGATTGACATTTTGGGTCAAAACTTGGTACATAAATGTACCTGAAACTTAGGATTTTCGAAATATAATAACTTTTGGTGTTGAATTTATTTAAAAACTCAATTTAAAATATTTAATTCAAACACCGTTTTCGAAATAATTTTTTTTTTGGTAGAGTGAAAATAACTATTTTGGAATTTTATAAAATAGGATTTAGGAAAATTATTTTTGGGTTGTCACACAGCTAGTACATTACGAGGTCCTACAAGTACCAAGGGAGCATAATGCGGACGCAGACATGCTCTCCAAGCTCAGCCAAGGAACCCTTGAGCACATCTCTAAGATAGCCCGAGTAAAGGACCTCGCGAAGTCCAGCTTGGAGGCCTACCCGGTCCTCTCCGTGCAAGCTCGACTTGCCTGCTGGCTAAACCACCTTAAGGAATATAAGAAGACAGACGTCCTCTCCCCGGATGAGGTAGACGCCAAGCTCGTGCAGAGTAGGGGCCCCACCTACCTACTCCTCGGGGACGTACTCTACAAGCGGTCCTACAACGGCGCCTTGCTGCGCTGCCTATACCCCGACGAGGCAAGATCTGTCATGGAGGAGATCCACGAGGGCACCTGCTCAGCTTATCAAGGGGCCTACACCATGGCCCGGAGGGCAATCCTTCAAGGTTACTTCTGGCCGAAGATGGCCAAGGAGTGCGCGGACTATGCAAGAAGTAGCTCAACTTGAGAAGGAAAAGGCCTGAGCTTAATGGCTTCTTGAGGAACACAATTGATTTTGAAAGTACCACAAATACGGAGGAACTTAGTGAAATCCTTCGTAGGTGCCCCTCCAAGTTGATCTGAAGTCACCATGTGCAAGATGGCCGGCTTGATTTCAAAGTTGTTGGCCTCCACACCAGGAGCATTGATACTATCATGTTCCTCAACATTCGAAGCGATGTAGCCTAACATGGATCTTGTTGCTGGCGGAGGTTTGATTTACTCCCTCCCCTTCTCCAACATTGACTGGATTTGGTACCTGAGTCATCTTTCTCTGCTTTCTAAGAAACTTGGCTTGTTTTTCGATCTCAGGGTTCAAGGGCAATAATCCTTCTTTTCTCGAGGATCGTGTGCGCAAACAAACCAAGTTCTTAGATCCAAAAATCAAAACTCAACCACAGAGAGCTTGTTACCAGTTAGCAAAAATAAAATAAAGATAAAAAATAAAAATAAAAATTGATTAGACTCCTAGAATAAAGCTTTCGCAAATGTCAATACTAAACACCACATCCCGGCAACGGCGCCAATTTGATTGCAATATATTTTCTAAAACAAATAATAATCGGAGTAACGGTTTATCGATCCTCAGCGAAGTGGTGCATATCAATAGCTACTAATTTATTCTCATGAAGTTAATCCTAATGATTAACTTGGATGGTTGCATAAAATAAATAAAGCAAAGCAAAATATCAGGATTTTGAAAACAATAGAGAGAGAATGAGATTCTTGAGATTCAAGTGTTTAATCCCCTAGTGCCTAACTTAAGTGCAATATTAAATCTGGGTTTAAACGAGTGTGCGAATGCAAAGATGGTATAAAGTTACTCCCGTAATCTCTAACCCTAGTGAATATTCACTCTCGTGATACAAACACTCAATAATATAAGAACAAGCATTCATAATAAATTCCTAACTACTACCATCTCCCGATGCGCAATAATCAAGAATTAAACTCTCTAACATATATGCTCTCTCCCAAGGTGCAATAGTTAAGTGCAATTATGTGTACTCTCAATTATGCTTAACTCCCGTTATGACATAAACAAAGCAATGAAACAAGTAATCCGGGCCCTGAACTACTAGCAACAACATTATAATCAAAATTGCAACACAAGTTTAAAACCCAAATAATAATATATTAAAGAATCTGAGAGCACAAGCACATAGGCTCATAAACACTTTTACCCAAGAATCTCTCATGGAGTTTAGCCAAACATGGCTAAATTATACTACGTACATAACAAATATAGTAAAGGAATTAAAAATTATTAAAGAGAGTACAAGAATGAACCAAGCGATTTTTTCAATTATGATTAAGTAAATAATTTTAAAGATTATTCCAAATAGGTGGTCATAAGTTTGAACCTTCGGTGGTGGGGGCTTAGATTCTTTGAGCTGAAAATGTTTGAGAAAGTATAGAACATCCCTGTAAAGAATCATAAGTATTTTTTTAAAGTAAATAATTTTAAAGATTCTAATTAATTTTTTTTTATACTAATTAAATCTTTTTAATGGTACTTTTTATACATTACTTTTATTTGTGAAAATAGAAAAAAAAAAATTAAATTATAAAAAAAAATTAAGGATGGAACTATTAATTTTTAAAAAATTTAAATTTAAATTCTAAATAATTTTAAAATTTTTACGAATACTCATTTCTCAACTATTCAAAATGTGTTTACAAAACACTCTTTTATCAAAGTTTATCAGTTGTAGTCCAAAGAGTCAATATCGGTTGGGTTGGGCTTCCCTCCTATGTGAAAAATAGCTCATGTTTGGACCAAGCATTTTTTGTACCCACGATATAGTTTTATGGAGCCCTAATTATTATTATTATTATTATTATTATTATTATTAGAGAAAATAGCACTTTTTCTCCCTAAGTTATATATTTATAGCATTTTTCCCCCTCAATTATTTATGTAAGAACATTAGCCCCTTCAATTATTTTAAAAGTGGTGGTTTTTCCCCCTAATATATTAAATTGAAATTTCTACCCTTAAAGTAAACATTTTATTTATTTTACTTCTCCAACAAATTATTGCGTATATGTAGAGATTACCACGATTCGATTCGAACTGAACCAGACACTATAGCAATCAAATTAAAAGTTTTCGGTTATGATTCAGATCTAGAACCCAATATTTGGATTTAAATTTATTAAATTTTAAGAATAAAAAAAAAAAAAAACTGGATCATGAACCGTGAACCGGCGGTTCCGAATCCGGTTCGCGATTTTGAACAATCTTTATTTTAAAATTTTAATTTTTATTTTAAAATAGTCTAAATTCAACAATAAATGTATTTTATTTTTCAGTTCGGAACATGAACCGGTCATTCCGGTTCGCGATTTTAATAAACTCTAAATATCGCGTTTTGATTATAAATTGTAATTGGAATATTTTGGTTTGGTTGCTATAGTATCTGTTTGGTTTGAACCAAATTATAGTAATAATTTGTTGGAGAAGAAAAATAAATGAAATATTTATTTTAAGGGTAAATATGTCCATTTAACATTTCAGGGGGAAAAAGAGCCACTTAAATAATTCAGGGGGAAAAAGTGCTATAAGTATATAACTCAGGGGGAAAAAGTGTCATTTTCCCTTATTAATATATAATAATATTAGGGATTATGAAGGGTTGGAAACAAAGGGACTTTTGGCATCTTGTGACCTTTCATGTTCTTCATTCCCTATAAATATGCTTAGGGATTTTGGATGCAAGATGGCCACTAGACACACACACATATGTTGATTCGGCAGAGAAGAAAGGTAGACGTGAGGCCACGCAGTGAAATAAAACAAAGATTTCTTTTGCTTGTCTTTTTGTCGCCTTTGGTAGTTCGGCAGCAGCGTGTTCGGCGGGTTTCATCCTTTGTTGCATGCTTGTTGGTTTTGCCATGAAGTTTGCCGAGGCTCTTGGGTGTTTTCTTCATCAAATATTTGAAGAGGTCAGCTTGTTTGTTCCAGTCATCGTTTTGGGTAATCTCGTAATATTTGTATTCTTTTCACTTTGCTTGTGGTGGTCGAATATTTTGAGTACGAGATATTATTCCTTTTAGGCATGTGAATGTGATAGAATGTATTTGGCCTAGAATGATTGTGTTTGATGGTTTTTGGCTCGTGTGGTAGCCATAAACTTTGTACCCAAGATTTGTTATAGTGGAATATTTGGTTGTGGTGGTCCTGTGGATTTTCCCCGTGGTTTTGGGATTTTCCACATAAATCTTGTGTCCCTTCCGTTGTCATTTATCTTTGGGCTATTGTGTTATCTCGTATTTGTGGATCGTGTCGGGTTTGTGATTTTCATTGTCACACGAAGTGAGATTTTTTCCAACAATATCCAACCACTGAAATTCGATCCTGTAACCTTCACTCAAGGAGAGCCATAGAGGTGCCAATTGAACACAATGTACTTGGCATAAAAGTGTGATATTTGATCACTCAAAAAAATGATCCCTAAAATAGGGATTTTATTATTGTTCCAACCATAGGAAATGGGGTTGAAATTTCTGACCACCTATCGAAAGAAATAAAACATTTTGACCACTTTCTATACGTGATTAGAATGTTTTAAAACCTTACAAATCACCGTGTTTCTTGCCACTAGGAATGGCAATTTAACTTGACCCTAATAAGAAACCATGTCTACACTATGAGAGTATATAGATGGAAAAAAATTTTCAAGGAAGGGGGTGAGTAATGGGGAGAGTTTCCTCATCCCCACCAGGGACAAGAGCTACACCTCTCGCACCGACCCTAACCCGAAACCCCGAAGCCCAAAAATAAATAAATAAATAAATAAATAAATAAATAAATATATATGTATATATATATATATATATATATATATATATATATATATATATATATATATATATATATATATATGGTCAGGTTCCTGTGAGGTCAGGTCTTCCCGTGCGGTCAGTGCGGCATACACCAATAGTATGCATAAATGCACCACACAGGGTTCGTAAATACAATATATGTGTGGTGTATTTATTTATTTTTTTTGTGGTGCATTTTTTGACATTTATTCTGGTGTATTTTCGAAATATGGTGCATTTATGCTAATGGTGTATGCCGCACTGACCGCACCAGAAGACCTGACCTCACATGAACCAAAATATATATATATATATATATATATATATATATATATATATATATATATATATATATATATTTATTTATTTATTTATAATATTTACATAATTATATGTAATATGTACTAATATTTGGGCTTCTGATTATTATTATTTTTTTAAGTTATTATGTTTGGATTTTGAGAATTTTGGACATTTGGTATCTTGGTTAAAGTTTTAAGATTTGAACAATTTGAATATGTAAGTATTGTTTAATGTCTTTTAAGTGTATTTTATACTAGTTGTATTTTAGATAATTGGATGTTAGGCTAATTGGATAGTTAAATATATAAATTTATAAGTTAATTGTATAATTTAAATAATAAATTATTTTATACTATAATATTGTACTAACAAAATAAGACATCTATTTTTTTTAAAAAAATAAGGGTGGAGAATCCTTGTCCAAGAAAACTCTCTGTGCGAATGGGGATGTAGTAATTCCCTATCCTCGTATGGGAACAGGGCGGGTTGGAGAATGGGGGATGAATGCAGGTGCAGAGATGTTGACCTTATTCCCCGCTCTGTTGTCATCTCTACCGACTATTAAAATTGGTAGGTTTTTTTTTTTTTTTTTACTTTTCGTCATGTGACTATAGGGGTCCTGTTAATTGCAGTCCACGACTTTCAAAAGTGTTAATTTAGTACATTGACTATGCAATTTTTATCAATTTTTGTCACTCCGGCCAAATTTCGCCTGAAAATTTTAATAGTTAAATTAATGAGGGGTATTTTAGTCTTTTTGCATCTCTTTTCTTTCTCCCATGCAAATTCGCCGGAGAAGGTCGCCGGTAATGGTGGATGCGCACTTCGCTTTGGTTTTTGATGTTTCACTCTAACCAGCTCCGGCATGCTAGAGGCCGCTAGTCCGGGAAAGTTCAGCAAAGCTCAGGTGCCCCGCAGCTCGAACACTGCTCGATCATAAGCCAGAGTTGCCTCCTTCGGCGTTTCATACGTCCCCAACCATCGCCTTGCACCTCCTTTCGTCGGATCCCTTATCTCCGCCGCGAACTTCCCCCATTGTCGTCGCCTCACCCCCCGATATCTCATCCATTCCGGCGTCGCCTGGTGCCCTGCCCCCACCTCTTCAGAAGCATCCCCGGAGTCTCCCACTAACGACGAGGCCTCATTTCCGGTGCCTTTGAAGCCCGTATCGAAAAACTTAAACTCCGGTATGCCTGAGTAGTGTTGGAGGAGATGGTTACTTGAATCAAAAATTGCAAGGTCATATTCCAATGACGTCATCACCGTGAACTCCATTTTCTCTTCTTTGCTATCTCTAATGAAAATTCTAATACGCAACAACCTTTATCGTTCTCAGAAGGTAGCCAGAAATTTTAGATTCAATAATTTTCTATTGAATTCACCATTACCGGCGACCTTTCCGGCGACCTTTCCGGCGAATTTGCAGAGAAAGAAAAGAGATGCAAAAAGACTAAAATACACTCATTATTTTAACTATTAAAATTTTCCGGCGAAATTTGGCCGACAATTTGGCCGGGTGACACACGCTTTTCTTCTTTCGTTTGTCAAACAAGTGTGGGATGAATCCCGGATCTTATCATTCTCTCGGGATGAAAAATTGGAGAAACTTCATGTTATTAGTTTAGAGAAATAGATTTGTGTGAGTTTGAGGTAGTGTCACGCAATATGTCATGGTTATACAAACTGCATTGGCACCCCGAACTGAGTATAGACATAGTTGTAAAATCCTTGGAATATTGATTTTACTTCAGACTTGTGCTTCATTAGGTGTAGTCATGTAAATCTACTATGGTCATCCACTATAGTCAAAAAATAATGTTCTCCCTTAAGAAAAGCTACAGCAAAAGGGCTCCAAACATCCATATGCAACAAATCAAAACATTTCTTAGCTTTATTGATACTAACAGGAAAGGTAGACCTCTTATGTTTTGCAAAGTGTCAAATATCACACACAAAATCAGGTAACTTGAGAGAAGGTGCAAGTTTTATTCCTTTCAACAATTGCATTTTATTCATAGGGTAATGGCCTAGCCGATTGTGCCACAACTGCATAGACAGGCTATTACAAAAAAAAACATCATAATCCTCATTAGGAGCATGAGTTTTCTTCTTGACAGGGGGATTAGTGATCAGGTACAGTCCATCTCTTTCTTTAGAAAAAACCATCCATTATTCCAAGATGCCCCTGAATTGTGCAAGAGTTAGCTCCCATCACAATTTCATAACCTGACTGCCTTGTTAACTTACTTGCAGATATAATGTTGAAAGTGAAAGGCGGAATACACAACACATTCTGCAAGAGTATGTTCATATGCAACCTGATCTGTCCTATGTGTAACATTCATAGTTTCCCCATTTGGTAACTTAACAAAAATCTCATGGATTGTATGATATGTTTCAAAATATTCTAAAGAGCATGTGATATGGTCTGTTGCACCTAAATCTAGGATCCAAACATTAGGTGATCTTAAGACATTATTGATATGAAGATTAGATATGAACTTGCCTTCAGTGTGATTATCCATATGCCTTTTGAAATCTGGCTTAAGACCATTGTTGGTGACAGTCACAGCTGCACTAGTTGAGGCCTGGTTTCCTTGATTCTGACTCTGTATCAAGGATAACAATCTCTGAAATTTCTCAGCAGAAAGGTCTGTGTCACCAATTTGATTCACAGAAGCCTGGTGTGTATCTTGAGCCTGTCTGTTCTTAGACTTATAGCTTGTAACCCAACCCGGGGGATATCCATGCTTCTTGTAACACTTCTCAATAGTATGACCAATCATCCCACAAAATGTGCACTTAGGTACATTTAGGTAGATTTTTTCCTAAATTGTTATTAAACTTCTTCTTGTTGTTTGAAGTTGAAACTGCCAGAGCAGGTTGCTCTTCTACATAGTGATCCTGATTATTCTGTACAACATTGGCTTGGATTAGATCATTGCACTTTTGATTGATAGAGCTCTTAATCTTCCTCTCCATCTTTAAGGTCATGTTGAGAACCTTTTCCATAATTGGAATAGGCTCCATGACAAGTACTCCTGACTTGATGTTTTCATAATCTTCATTCAACCCTTCCAAAAACCTAATTATATGATCTTCTTCGTTTTCCTTCTGGATTGGCTCAAGAGAGAACATAAACACTTAGGCATGTGCTCACAGACAGGAATTGGCCTCATAGCATTCATTTGCACTCATAAGGCATTGCTTTTAGTAAAGTATTCGTTAATGGATAGATTACCTTGTGAACATTTGTAGATCTCATTTTGCAGTTCTGCAATTCTGTGAGCATCAACATTAGAGTACCTCTCCTGAGTACATTCCAGATATCAGCTGTGACTTCAAAGTACAGGACTCCTTCCGCGATCGTAGAGCTGAGGGACTTGAAAATCCACGGACAAACAATATTGTTACATCTCCTCCAGATCGCGTACTTAGGATCAGTTTCTCCAGGATTTGCGATAGTCCCATTAACAAATCCGAATTTGTTCTTAACCTCCAGAGCTATCCTCATTGATCTACTCCAAGAGGTGTAGTTGAGCTCGGTTAATGGTGGTGAAACGAGAACCAGATTGGGATTCTCCGTAATGTGCAAGTACAGAGAATCGTCGAACTCATCAGCGCGTTGGACATGATTCTGATTCATCGAGTTCTGGTTCGCAGATGTTCCTGCTTGTCAAGTCGAATTTCCGTCGCCGTTTTCATTCTCCGTCATTACCGCTGCGGCATAACTCCCGTGACGCTCTGATACCATGAGGAAATGGTTCAACTCATGCTAAGGGAAAGACAAAACTTGATTAAACAGAGAGAGATGTTTTACAGAATACTGAGAACTTTGCCAGGGAAGATAAATACCAAAACTTATATACAAGTGAAAGGGAAGATGGCGGTTATAACTAACAATGATGGTGAAAGTACACGAATTCCTTTAGGCTTATTAAACTGAACAGATGCTGCACAAGCTAGTGGAACTTCAGGCTGCTTGCTTGCATAAGGTGGCTGCTTACTTCATCAATATAGAAGTAAGCTAGGCTTATCAACAACTAAGTTTTTTAATTAGTAATGCTTATCAAGTACTAGATCTTATCCAACAGTAAGGCAAGTCAGCAGTAAAGCTTAGCCAAGCAGTAGGACTTATAAGCAATAAAAGAGTAAGTAGTAAGGATATCTTTTCAAGATATACCTAAGACATTCTCTAAGCATTATACGATGTATCTCTCTATCAATTTTGGACGTTAGCATGTTCACCAAGTGGATATTTTTCTAAACAAGTAGTATAAAAATGTGCACAAAAAAAAAAAAAAAAAAAAAAAAAAAAAAAAAAAAAAAACAGAATTTAAAGATAAGTTGCAAGCAAGGATTGGCTATAAGTCTACTAGTGTTGGGCAAGTCAGAATATAATATTATATTGCATGTTGCACAATTCAAAATTTTCGATCTCCAATGGGTAAATTTGAATCCAAATGTAAATAGGAATGTCATGCTAGAAGAAGAGAGGATTAACAACAACAAGAACGCAACCTCAAATCTCACATTCAGCTAACTTTGAGGAATTTTTTCCAAACTTTATTAACAATTGTTATACCCTGCACCACGGTGCACATAGCACTGTAGATCCCGCGCCACCCAAAATGATGTCATTTTATTAAGTTGTGTGGAGAATCGACAAGACAGAGTGTATGTGTATTATGTTATATAATTATGTACATTATGTTATACAATTATGTACATTCTGGTATACAATTATGTACATTATTTTATACAATTATGTACATTTTTTATACAATTATGTACATTCGAATACGCGATTTTTTTAACAGTTAAAAGTTTGTGTATTCTGTTATACAATTATGTACATCCTCATATACAATTATGTACATTTTAGTATACAATTATGTACATTTTCAAAACATGAATTTTTTTTTTAACAAGTTAACAACAAACACAGAAAAGTAAAATTTTTAAAAATAAACAATGCAAAACGACGTCGTTTTGCACCAGGGCGCACAATGCAATATGCGTCCTGATGCACAATATAAATTGCCCTTTATTAAGAACACTCCCAGGCCATTGCACAAGGTCTCTAATTTATAGGGCCCCATAAATATATCATAGTATATATACTATATAAATTTTTTTTACAATTGGCCCCCAAATTTTGGGGGCCAATTGTAGAAAAAAAAAAACGTTATATATATTATTGAGATTAGAGTATTGCAGTAACCACGCAAGAACAAAATTTTTTTTTTTTATTATAAGGAAGGGAGATACCCTATATACAGACTACTTATACAATATTTGTTTCAAGTGAGGATTTTGGGGGCCAATTGTAGAAAAAAAAAAACGTTATATATATTATTGAGATTAGAGTATTGCAGTAACCACGCAAGAACAAAATTTTTTTTTTTTATTATAAGGAAGGGAGATACCCTATATACAGACTACTTATACAATATTTGTTTCAAGTGAGGATCAAACCTTTCACCTCCCGCTTAGGGGAGTGACCGAGTACCAATGAACCATAAGCCACTTGGTATTATTCTAATATTTTGATAATTCAATACCTAATCTCTATTTTTCCTAATCCGTTTTCGTATTTCTTAATATCTATTTCCCTAATCTTTTTTCCCATTGCCTAATATTTTCAATAGGTCATAATCAATAGTTCATTACTCTTATTGAGTCTTTCTCCCAAGTTCTTTATTAGATGTCTGGTAATTATTAATTAAAACTTATTATCTTAAATGTACATATTATTGGATTTATTTCAAAATAATTATTTATTGACATAGCTTATTTACTTAATAATTTTAAATATTAAGTAATATATTCAAGAGTTTGTTTCTTAATAAATTCACTAAATTATTAAATGATAGTAAACAGTTTTTTTCTTAGGATTTTGTAACGATGTTTTTTTAATGAGAATTGTAAAGAAAGATGAATTGAACAACTAATTCAATCTCAAAAGGAAGCTTTTGAATAATTCATTACAAAAGAATATCAAATAGATGAGCAAAAGAATGACACCAATGAAAATTTGTTAAATGCTAGTTTTCACAAAGAAGATCAAGGTGATTGTGAGACTGAAAAAAATTTAAATGATAGTGTGCACAACAATGATAAATATCACTATGACGATGAAAATGATAAGAATGTTGACGGTTGTTTAGATGATGGTGGCCACAACGATAAATCAAATTATTCATTTTTATTTGACATATATGATCCAAGAAATTAGAATTTCCTTGATTCTAGATTAATAGATATTCTTGTTAAAAAGGGTCCAAAATTAGATGTCGCATAGGACCTCTATTTGTATTGGAACGGCCCTGAACACTCCAAAGACTCTCAATATATAGCTTTAAAGCATTACCTAAAAACTCTTAGTATTTTTAGTTGGATGATTTATCAACTTGGGTTGATTAGTTGTGGACTTGTAAATCTCTACTTGTTGAAAGAGGAGTACTAAACTTGGTTAAGTCGATTGAAAAAAAAAAAAAAAACAAAAAAACTGACAAACTTGGGGTTGCCTTATTAATCAAACTAGTAATTGTCTCGTGCGATGCACGAACTATTATTAATTTAACAAATTTATCAATTAAATTTTTGACATCTTCTGAATTAGCAAAGAAAATAATGATTGTGTAAACAGAAAAACGTACTTGAGTTCTTGAGTTCAGAATTAGTTTGATTAAAAATGTAAGTATAACTATACAATGTAATATTTAATATTTTTAAAAGTTTAATTATGTTATTATTATGTTGATTTTAAAGTTTATTGTTACTTGTATTATTATTTGAATTTGAATTTTTTTTTAAAGGAATTTGAATTTGAAATAACTACTTTAATTATATAACTAACGTATGTTAAATAAAACTTGCAAAATAAAATAACATGCGATATTTGTTGAAAATCTTCACCAAAAACTTATTCATTTGAAAAAAATTATTTATGTAAGAACTATATTTATTTTATATATAATTTATCCTCTTTATATATGCGGAGTCAAATTAATTATAATTGAGGTTTAAATGAATATACACACAAATTATATTAAATATAAAACTTTACCAATAAATTTGAACACAATAAATTTTTATCCGTACTTTATTATGCTTTAATATATATAGAGATAAAGATAGAGCTATAATAATAAAATATTATTATAAAATATAAATACACATAATAAATTCAAAAAAAATATGTATAAATACATCTACCCACACAATTAATGCATTCATAATTGCTAATTTTGTTTCTATCAAAATGCATTCACACTTTGGAGAGAAAATTTTGTGGCCGGATTCTGTTTTGTTATATATAAAGATTAAAGTACAAGTTTGAGTTCAGTTATAATCTGTATGGCGACAAGATTTTTACTAATGAATTTCCCTTCTGGCACGTTTGGTTCACGGAATGAATTTGCAATGGAATAGGTAAGGAATAGAACATGAATTGTATTATATTATTTGGTTCGCTGAAAGAATAAAATTTAAGAATTGTATTCCAACGTTTGGTTGGTTCAAGGAATTGAAGTGGAATATATATGTTTAAAAGACATAAATGCCTTTTTACAAAATCTATATCTATATACATATAAAAGCCACTAAATTTCAGCCAATCAGATTCATCAATTTTCCCGCCCATAATAAACGACAGATTTTAGATTTTTTTTTTTTTTTTTGGGGCGTTAGTGTTTGACCAGAAGAGTATGGTGTCAAGCAATATTTGTAGGAGAGTGGCCTATTGCGTGTTTGCAGAGTTGGTATGGTGTCAGGCTATATTTGTAGAGTGGCCTATTGCGTGTTACAAAGTTGTTATCTACTCCTATTTGTAGAGGAGTGGCCTATTCACGACCTCAGTTGCTTGCTTATATATAGAAGATATATGTTTAGAGACTTCAAGTTCTATTCAAATGCAAACTGTAAACAAATTTCATATTATGCGATCAATGAAGAAGATGTCCTGGGTGGTTGGTGTGCAGCTTCGCGTTGTGTGCGGAACTATCAGGGGCCACCTACCGTCGGTGCCGCCTCCTCAAGGTAAGCTTTTTTCAGTAATCTTCTTCGACTGAATCGTATTTTTGCCGTTTTTCAGAACAGATCTGATGGATTTTTGAGTTTCTGGAATAGATTATTTGTTAGAAGGATATCCCAAGGATTCTTATCCTCTGCCCGGTTACCCGCCCAAGCCAAGGTTACCCTCAAGGATACCCTCCCAGGTCGATTACCCTCCACAGTATCTCTGCCACAGTACGCCAACCCGCTGCCTCAGCATATTGATAGCTCCAGCTGCTTGGAAGGATGGTAAACTTCTCTCAATCCTCTTATCAATGTTAAATCAGAAACAAAAAGTGAAAAACAAAAAAAGGTTTAAAATTAATTAGAACACTTTAATCAGAGAAAAAGAAAAAAAAAGCATAGATTCTTTTATCATCCCTTACATGTAATTTTAGATTGTTTCTATTTGGGTTTTGGAACTTATAAGTCTAGAGTATAGTATTTGTGTGTATATATATATATATATATATATATATATATATATATATATATATATATATATATATATATATATATATATATATATGATAAGTTTTATATATTGTATTTGTTCTCTTGATATGGCTTCTGGTAAACTCCTAATAA